CTTTCCATAGTATATTACTGCTGTCTTATTTTGCTAAGTTTTCCTTGTTATGCCATAAAACTGCTACCGTCTCTGGTATGCAGGCAAGATTTGTTAATTCTTAAGTTAGCTGTCATTCAATGTTAGGGAAATAGCTCAAATCCTTTTTTTAATCAATAGCAAAATAACCATGGAGTTACTGTGAAAATTACACTTGTTTTGAGGAAGCACTGGCTACTGTATGTCAGGGCATTACTTTATAAGGAATGCAGGAAATGGTCTGACTTGTTATCATTGCTTCTGTATTTAGTGCTTGGACTCTAGGGAATTTATGTCCACTGATCTGTGATAACTATAAAGTATTTCTTAAGAATGAACTGCCAAATAATATGTTCTGTGCTTGTTTAGTACTAGAACCAATTATAAATAGAATGTTAAAAGCCTTGGGTTTTTTGAAAAGAAAACTGTTTTGCAACTCTTAAGTAGAGAAGAATGTTAACATGTACATGAGCAGATGGTGAGATTACCTCTGCTTAAGGTAACAGGATTTATCTTTAATAAAGTAATCCTGTACTCATTTAAGATAGGAAACTAATTTAGATTTTGGGAGTCTTTGTCTTGGTAGAGATGTAATATCCTGTACTGATTCTCCTGAAGTTTCTCACCAGAAACCTATAAATTCCTCATTAGAAAAAAACTTTATGGCTCAGTTTTCTGTATTTGCTAGAGTAGTGCATATGTAAATAGACTTTGTTTTTTATGTAAGCCTCTGTAAGTGAAAACCTGATTTGAAATTAATTTCCTTTCCATGTAGAGGTTTTGATCTGAAGGAGATGGTCAGACATCTTCCTGTTTCTTGCTTCTTGATATTAATGAAGTTTTGTTGCTGCATATTTTTTTTAAGACCATTTTACTGCTTTGAAATAATGAATAATGAGCAATACTCAATTAAATAAAATTACACAGCAATACACAGCTACTTGACTGAGCAAATGAACTTTCAACTCTAAACACATTTACTCAAAATTGGCACCAAGGAAGCATTGCTCTTAGGGAAACTCTGCTAGACTGGAGCCAGAGAAAGGGTCTGCAGACTCGTATCTGGTCGAATATTTAAAGAAAATATTGCTTAAAGTTAACGAAGTCTCACTGCAAGAGACAGGTTACCTTTCATCAAGGCTGTAGATAAATCGGGTGTTTGAGATTTTTAGACCTGCTCTTTATCGAAGCAGACAGTATTGGTGAGTTACTGCTAGGGCAGTGTAAGTATGGTGACTTTGTGTAAAGTATGAATGTGTCCTTTTAATTTCGAATTTAGGGGAGAAATAAGTGGTGTAGGGGACTGTTTTATCACTTCCAAATTTCTGTTATAATCTAGTCAGTTGATTCTAGTTTTCCTTTTTTTTTTTTTAAAAAAAAAAAAACAAGCACATTTGATCCATTCTTTAAGTGTTTGGAAAGAGAGTTGTACTTTTGAAGGTGGACAGATTGACAGTTGAAAACTGATTATTACTGTTACTTAAAATACTGTGCAGCAGTTGAGATGAGAACAGTCCTGACTCTTTAAGGTTTACTTCTAGGTCTTCTGATGACTTCTGGTTGTTGCAAAGCTCTTGTGAATTCGTTTGGTATGGTCAGTAATGGTTCAGGTATCTGTGTTTTCTGTTTCTGGGATTTGAATTGAAACACATTCTTCTGAGCATTTGGGAGGAGTTCCCTGCCGATAGATGGTCCAAATGGAATTTGCCCTTCTCTTTGCAAATGTTGGAGAAGTTTAAATTCTGCTTGCTCTCTGCCTTTGAACTTAGATGGCTACAAAGTCAGAAGTTCAAAGTGAAGCTAAACTTCCATGAAAATGTTGCTTGATGCGGTGTGGTTAGCATTTAAAAGAGGGTCTGTCTTTATTTTAATCATCCTTATGCCTAGGGAGCTTTTCTGATGTGTTATCATGTGAATTTACTGCTTATAACTGGCATGCAGGATACAGTTTTGCTAAAACTATTGCAATTTTATCAGATTTTTTAGTTGTTTTTTTACTTCAAACTGTCTGAAAACTGCAGTCTGCTTACAAAACTTGACAAATTTATACACCGATTTGGTTTTAGAAGCTTCCCAAGGATAGGACTTAAATACAGTGATCAAATGAAGTGTATGTATGCTGATGAGACTGTCTTATAAAAAATAAAATTCAACTTTTCAGATAATCACTAATAATTTTCTTCTGTCTTGAATACTAGAAGTCACTGGATTTGTCAGTGCAAGTGTGCAGTCATACACTGACAGAAATGCAGCACTGTAATGTGAAATTGTAAAATAAACAAGCAATTACTGAGTGATTGGGGTTCACTAGATGTTACGAATGAATGTACCGCAGTAGCTGTGCACCATGTTTCTGAGTGCTAAGGAATGTATGTTTATCTGCAGTCGTGACTTGGTGGAACAGTGACTTCTTGTGAGTAGGAGACTGCTTGGCGAGTATGGAGATCAAAGCTGTCAATTGCAGCAGAAAAATAAAGCTTCATACTTTTTTAAGGAGCCAGAGCTGTTATATGTAGCTACTTTGAAGGCCATGTAATCTTGATATTTTTTCCTTAAGAAAAATCACTTGCTGCTCTAAATATCAAGCAGCACCAGAATGCATTGATAATCTTCAAAGTTGTAGCCCAAACAGTTCTGAATAGTCTCAGAAAATATGATCAAGTTTTAGTTTTTCTAATAAAATTCAGGAAGAAAAATCCTGCTGCTATTTAAAATCCTTAGTCAGCAGCAAGACTGTGAAAGCTGCACTTAGCTCATGCTGCTGCTGCTTCTTGGAAAAGCCAAGTAGGAATTATTGAGAGGATTTAATAAGTCAGGGTGTTCTTGCATCTGAAAATTTGACATGGCAATTTTAACCAGCTGTAAGTTAATAAAGAGATTAATGCCTGCTTGGGTATCTAGGCAGTTTGAGCAGATGGTGTAAAGTATATTGGACTTCTTGTTAGGATTTTATCTGTGGCTAGTAGTCTTGGACCACGTACAAAATATTCAGTATATCTTTAGGAGAAGGTTTAGAATGACTGTCCTGCTAACAGGAGGGTAGTAACCAAAAGGCACTGAAGGCTACAGCTGTGCTGTAAATGGGACCAGAGAACTGCACTTGCTATAAAGGAACCCAGCAGAAAAGTTTGGGGTTTGTTTTTGGTTTTTTTATCAATTCTCCGATTGGGTTCAATGCACAGCTGTACAAATAGGCAGTAGATAGGACAGGACTTCTTTCTAATGGCAATAGTAGTGGCTTTAATGAATGTCAAACTCTGCAGCTTAATATATTGTGTGGAAAAGGATCTGGTGTCGTCTTTTTCCTGTAGACTTCATCTGTGTTGCATATCATTGTCTCGTGGAATGGATACATACTAGTAACTGCCAAAGCTCCCCCTTAAGACTTTATTCCCCAGGACTTTAGTTGTGTGGCTTTCAGGGTTTTATAACTTTGTTAGTCTGTCACTGTTTCAGTCTTTCTGAAGACACCCTCTTTCATTTAAATCTTGTCTTGGTACCTGTAACATCAGTTCTGGTTTAATTTTGCTTTGTGAGGGGTTTCACCTGAACGTGTTTTCAGACTTAGCTGAAATGTAGAGTCTCTTATAAAGATGTCTGTCCTTTACAATATAAGCCACTGAAATGAAGTAGATAAAACAAAAGCTTGGCCAGAGTCTTAAAGAATTTAAAGAATCTGTTAGAAATCTGTTAAGAATCTTGCTGTCTCTGTGGCGAGTCCACAGAAGTACAGTCAGTTTGTTTAAAGCACATATCTCTGGTCTGATTCAAGGAAGAAAAAAATCTAATGGGTATGAATAGCAAGGGAACATAAAGACAGACTTTTTGAGTTATATGTGTTATTTGCTGCAGAGAACTCTCTTAGTTTGTAATTGTTGCATGACTTAAACCCATGATGATTTACATCTAAAGGCTCATCTAGTTCTGTGAAACTGTGTTTTAATGAGGATTGCTGTTTATGTAACTCTCCTAGCAGAAACTCGTTATTCATGATTTTTATCTTGCTACTTGATATGCATACTAGCTGTTGCTGGAAGACATCTTATCTCCTGGACTCAACTCTAACCTGTCTGTGTATAAAAGCTGTAGAATAAAGTAGAAAGAATATTGAAAAAGTACATAGTTCTTGTGGTAATCTCCTGTACGATGATTTTAAGAAAGTGTCATAGATACTGTGGTGAATATGGCAAGTTGTATAATAGTACTGAACACAAGATCGGAACTGGAGAAATGTAAGATGTCGTTTTCCTGGTAGTGGCCTTAAGCAAAAGTGACCTTTCAGAGTTTCTTCCCTTACATAGTAGTGAGTGACGTTTCCTTTAAGGGGCTGTTAAAGGGATTACTTAATGAGAAGCTGTACTTAAATAGCTTATTTTGCTTGTCCAAGAAATAGCATTTCATAAGCGTTATTTCTCTTGTGAAGAGGGTGAAGTACAATGATATTTTTCCAAAGGAAGGGAAGGTCCTTCAGCATCGTTACGATGATCATAATTATGGTACAGCAGTTTGACTGACCTGTATTTTTTTTAATATATTGAAGTAAACTGGAAGTCCTCTTGATAATGTGCTTTATCAATGCTGATATTTGTGTAGTCTTTAGAACGATTTCTGCTTCTGAGATTGAACCTGGCTAAGTGTGCAGAATTGTTCAAATCTGAAAACAGTTAGATACTTGAAGGTACCTTTTCTGTGTCTTAGGTTTAATAATGCAAAAAGAAACCAAGTACTTACTCTACCTACTGGTAAGTACTAGTAAGAAAAATAAATGGATCTCACATAATTGAAAGACTATGAATTTAATTGTGTGGCTTCGCTTTTTAAGTTTGACTCAAAAAAAAAAAAAAATTGGTTTCTTATGATTTTAATGTCCTGGGTTTCTGAAGGACATGTGCAGCCTTGTCAGTTGGTGATGTATGACTTAGTAGTTCTCCACATATGATTTCTTTTATGCATTTAATGTTTCATTTCCTTTTCAGATCTGCTAAATCTATTCCAAAGCCAAGGGCGGACAACCAGTGCAAAGGAAGTGTTGCTTCTTTTTAAATGGACATCTGCTCTTGCGGGATGGCCCAGATATCCAGTAGCAATGGATTTAAACAGCGCTCCTCACCTTCTTTGGCAGCCGCCAGGTCAAAAGATGTGGACAAAGAAGAGGCGTTGCAGATGGAAGCTGAGGCATTAGCTAAGATGCAGAAAGAAAGAGGTGTGGCTGGTAATAAACAAACTTTTAATTCTTTAAGCAGCACCAGACAAAAAGCACAGGCTCATAGCAAACAGGACCATGATCTCATGGTGTTTCCAGAGTCTGATGCCAAGAGCATGGAAGATAAACTAAGTACCATTGACATAGAGAAGCTTACTCATGCTGAACTAGAGAAACTGCTGCTAGATGACAGTTTTGAATCTAGTAAAGTACGTACGTTACCAGTGAGTCCTATTTTGAGCCCATCTGTGTCTTCGCAATTTTACCTTGGACCTATGGGTCAGAGAAGACAGTGGATGTCTGGGATACCAGCACCTGTGACATGCCCTTTACCTCCTATTTACCCCTCAGCTTCTTACACGAAACAGACTGGTGTATTTCAAAATGGATTCCATCCAAACATGTCCTCCTGTTACTCTAGAGAACCTATTTATCTTGGTCTTCCAAGGCAGTCGCAATACATTTCATACCCATTGGCAGCTACTACACCTTTCCATCCACAAGGAAGCCTACCTATATATCCTCCAGTACTTACACCAGAAATGGCGAAAGTATTTGACAAAATTGCAAGCACTTCAGAATTTCTGAAAAATGGGAAGTCAAGCACGGATTTAGAAGTGACTGCTATAAAGTCTGCAGTTTCTGACTTACCAGCCTCAGAAAGCTGCAGTGATGTTAGTAAATTTGATTGGTTAGATTTGGATCCCCTAAGTAAACCAAAAGTGGATAGTGTGGAGACTTTAAATAAGGCAGAGAATGATGGAGAGAGGGCTTCAGGTATGACTGCTGAAGATCCATGGGATGCTGTGCTGTTAGAAGAAAAGCTGTTAGTAACTTGTCATCTGGAAAGAAAAGTTAATGGGAAATCTGGAGCAACAGTTACAAGGAGCCAGTCCTTAAACATGCGAACAACTCAACTTGCAAAGTTACAGGGCCAAACATCACAGGTATGTAATCAGTATTTTTAAAATGCAGTATAATAGTAAAGATTAGTCGCAGTATTTAAAGGCACTTTAAGGTCTGGATTTGTTTGTTAAATATTACTTGGCTTGAGCGGTGTCCAAATGATGTGATGTTACTGGCGTATGTATGTATTGTATTGGTGATATTCAGAAAATCGAACAGTACTACTAAACTAAATCCCGAAGTAACTCTGGCCTTGTGTAATCTTTCCACATTTACTGAGGAAATTGTTGTTTTTCAACACACTTCAAAAAGAAATGGAAATAATCTTTAGAACAAGTATTTAAATCATATTGATAACTATTTAAATTAATGAGCAATTCACATGATACTACAAAATAAAAAGATGGTGAGTTAGGCACTGAAAGCTTTATTTGAGCACACTTATCTCAGACTTTGAAAATACAATTTTTTTGCCTTCTATATGAACATGTCAGCTTTTTAAAAAAAAAAAAAAATCGGGTAGAATAGAAAGGTGGCATATTCAAAACTCTTCTCTGCTCTCCCAGTATTGCTTGCAGTCTTTCACAGGACCACTATAATTCCCTTTTGTAGGTGGAAATCTTTTCTTCTGAAAGAGAGATTGTAACCAAACCTTTTGTTTATACTGTCCTGGAAGGTGGGATGCCCATTGGGTCAGAAACCCTGTACTTCTGTTCTGGAAGGAGGAAAACCATCTTTGTGTGATGTTACTTTTATCAGGCAGGGCAAAAGGGTGATTTCTGCTCTGGGATCAGGATCACTTTCATCAAAATTTCAAGACAAGGATGGCAACAGAGGCTTTAGTTATGACAGTCATCTTCTTGGACACAGAGCACATGCAGTTTGTATCAAAACTAAACAGTACAGCAGATGATCAATACTGTAGCAATCTCATCTGGTTAATTATGCCCCCATAAGTGCATTCTACCCTTTTCCAAGTCCAGTAAATGACTGTAGATTATTTAACTTTTCCTATCTTTTAAAATTCGTTCTGTGATAATCCCATCTTAAAACAAGACATTATGTTTTAAAATATTAGTCACCTCACTAGAAAGGGAATATGAATACTATTGTATCTTAATTTTTTGGGAGAGAGAGTACAGAGGCTGAAGGAGAGGTCTTCAGGGGAGAAGTCAACACCCTGGCAAGGGTGATAATGGCAGGAAAAATCATACTTGTAGAAACTGGTTAGAGGCAGGGGAGTAAAAGATTTGTTTGCCTTGGAGACTTTGGGTTGCAGCTGTTTTGAATCTTATGTATTGTCTTTCTAGGTGTTTTTAATCGGCTAGGGACATGCCATGAAAAACAACTGTTATCAGTCAAGGCTATTTTCCAAATTGCTCCTTAATTCTTCTCTCTCCCCTGCAAACCCTGGGAGGTTTTTTCCTCAGAAAAAGGAATAGACTTTGGCTTAAAGGGCTAGATTTCCACTGAAGTGAAATTTTTGGCCCCCCATTTGAAGGATTTCCTGTTTTTTGTGGGCTAGTTGTTAGTATTCTGGCAAAAGTTTAATAGAAGGCCAATGGAGAAGGACCAAAAAAAACCCCTAAACAAAAAAAAAAAAAAACCCTTTACCTCTTCTTAAGGGATTGCATTTTTAACATTACATGTGTGAAGATCTTGGGTCTAACTTAATTTTATTTTTTCCACTTGCTGTTGAGCTGTGATGTGTGAGCTCAGTTATTTCCTAGTATTTGAAGAGGCATGTAAATTTGGGGTCTACAGCAGTTTGCTTCTTCAGTTTGTCATGTTATCTAGTGATGTGTTTGTCGGTTTTCTGGTGATGTTTGGTTGGTTGTAATGTAACTGTTGACTGGAATAGCTAGGCTATATTGGATCAGTGCTTCTGAGGTGTTGTCTGGAGGAAGTAATATTTGACTGTTGCTGAATGAAATCAGTTTTTATAAATCCCAGAGGTTTTTTCAAGAATGCAGTATTTAAAAGGGTCTTTCCTGTTCATTAGGTCTGATCCCATGCTGTTTGCAGATCACGTGTTAACTGATTCATGAAATGCTCAAGCTCTGCCTTCATATGTGACATTTTCCTCCTACTACTTTTGATTTAAAGGCTGTTCTAGACCCTCACTGTCCTCATCAGTCATCTGATTTTCAGCAGAAATGCATTCATAACTAGCTCTTAGCAAATGTTCTTAACAGGATGGAACAGCAGGTATTTAAGATAAAGAACCTTTCTGATATTCACCTCAGCATGTTATAAAGAGACAGTGACTTTCTGTCAGCTTTCATTGCAAGCTCTGTGTGATAGCTTCTCTTTCCTGTCACTTAATTTTGAAGATGGCTTATGAGAATTTGTGTTCTCTGAGAGCACAGTGTATCATGTGCCTTGTACAGTGGCATGAATAAACCCTCATGACAGCTAGGGGCATCCTGCTTGATTCATTTTTATTGCATTTGCTTTTTTTATGATGGCATCACAACAACACATACTGATCCTGTAGTCAATTAATATATCTGATTTTCTTAAGCCACCATCTTTTTCAAACAAATTCTTAGTCTACTATAGACTTCTGCAGTGAATGCCCAATTGAAGGTTTGAGATTTACATTCCACTTGTGTTCTTCCAGTCTGTGGTTAACTAGTTTTGGCATAATACTCCAGTTCTAAAATGTATTATAAAGTTAGCTGATGATACAAGACTGTAAATTATCAGCAGGTGTGTTTCTGCTGCTTGTGCTAAGTTGCTAAAGAAGATAATAAATAAATCTAAAAATGAGTCTCCCAAACGGATATCTTTTCAATGTAACCTGTGGCTTTTGCTTTATCTTTTGCCCATCCCATGCTGCTACTTTATTTTCTAGTTTAAATAATTTTCCATCTAGTATAGTAGGAAGCAGAGTTATTTAGCCTCAAATATTTTTGGCAGCTCTCTTGTATTTTATCCCATTTACGTCCAGGTATGTATTTCCTTCAAAGTACATTCTGAAGTCTTGCATCCTAACCAGTCTGGATCATTTTTTCCCCTGATTAACTCATCGTCTCACTGCTCCTTAAAGCTATTAGTAAAAATTTCTAGTCATATATTTTGATTCTATCACATTTAATCCCTTGAATCAATAGATTGCTTTGAGTTTTGCTTCATATTTGATGAATATCTATATATTCAGTATTCCACTTTTAAATACTTCAGTGTTGGTTGCTCTCCTTTCTGAAAGCAGAGGAAAAATCATCATTTTGTCCTATTTTAAGTGTTGTCTTCTCCACGAGCTGAAGTCTTGTGGCTTTATATACTCATGGGATTTAATTTAACTTGACTTTTGGTAATTTACTGGGTTTTGGGTTTGTTTTTTATTGTTAAGAGTAATTGTATTTGCAGACCACTTCTATTTTTGCCGGCTGTGCTGATATGAACCATTTATCTACTTTGGCCTGAAGTTCTTTCTTACAAGTTATTTCCTGTTTGACTGACAGCTTTTGCACCTCCTGGATTTGCTCATCTGGAAGTCAAAGAAATTCAAATCCTTCTTGTTACTCAAAACCTTCATCATCTGAGTCCAGTGGATTTTAAGTAGATTTCTTAGTTTATCAGAGCTTGTCCTCCTGAAGTTATCTTCTACATGTGATCAAAACTTAATATTGAAATTCAACTAAAAAAGCAAGGAGGTATTCAGTGTGCTTAATTTTCTGCCAGCAGGTAATTTCCAGCAATACATTATTTGAATTAACATTAGGTTTCTCTGCTTAGCCAAACGTGACCCTGAGGTCAACTATGGGTAACCAAAGAAACTTTTTTTTCTTTGCTCATTACATTAGAATTTATTGTTTACCCTCTTTAAGCTTATATGTGTAGAAATGCCTTGTTCCCTTAACTTCTTTGAATTTAACAGTGGAATAACCTGCAAATTTTGCTGTAAATAACTAAAAAATGTCACATAGTGGCATGAAGTGGCAATGGTGCATCACTGGTGTGACTTTATTTTAAGTAATCCCCATGTGTATTGCTTTTATACTCTGGTTAGAGTTGCAAAGTGCTTTCAGTGCTTATTTGTAGTATTACTTAACTTCTTTCAAAAGAGTTCTTAATTGGAGAAAATTTAATGTTTGTACAGCTAGCTTCTTGATTTGAAATGATTGAGTATTGTGTTGCGTGTAGACTAGCTGTTAGTTGAGTCTTTATCAAAGGTGTTTACCTTTCACTTGGTATGTTAACTTCCTGGTTCCTTGTATGATTTTGTTTGTTTTGTTACTGTGTAATTGCTTGAATACATGTACTAGATACAATTGTACAGGTTTGTCAGCAGGTCTTGCGCAGTGGCCTGGAAGTATTTTTATGTGATAGAACTTGTCTGGGATGTTAGAATGGAAGTACCTTTTTAAACTTAAGGTATTACACATACTCCTGAATCTCATTCCAGGTTTTGTGACTTTACAGCTTCCTGCTCTAATTGCTTCCCATGGTATGGCTAATCCCCAATTATATAGAATTTATCCTTCTGAACTGATCGATGTTCATGAAACCAATATTTTAGCTGAAATAACTAGGTTTAAATGCAATTCAAGTGGCAATTACGGGTTGCATATATTATCCCTTCTAAGTTTGTTATACTGCTTAAACAAGTTAATTTGAGCAAAAAAAGTTCTAAAAGGAAAAGACCTCACAGTCCCTAGCTTTGCATGTTACAGATTTGACCCCTTTTCTGAGACAGTCTAATTTGACTATATTGTCTGACATGCTCTAATGAAATTAGATGCTCAGCTAACTTTGTCAGCTAATAATAAATAACCTACATACTAGTCAAGTAGTTACTCACTATTCCAAGTATGAATAAATTGTGATGATTTTCAGAAAAACTGTAGTGCAGTCTGGTCTTTTGGTCGTGTCCCGTCCGTGTCCAGTCCCCGTCCCCCCATGTCCCCACCCCCA